GACTGCATGAAAGGGACCTTACAGAGACCTTACTTACAGGGACTGATGTGGCACCCAGAGCGGCACAGGGCAAGGGGACTCCTGGGAGAGAGGAGACTCACAGTGAGGTGGGAAGCCCCACTTAAAAAAAAAGAGAGAGAGAGAGAGACCGGCAGGACCCCCAGGCAGAACCACTATTCTCCTGCCAGCACCACCCAGTTCCCTGGCCCAGGAGCTCTATCTCACTTCTTGCCTCTGAAAGGGCTTACTTCTAGGAAAGTGGAACTTATCCCTAAAATTCTATTGGTTCTCTGAGCTCACTCATGATTGGTTATTTCCTTCACTCCTGATTGGTCCATTTCCCTAACTTCTGATTGGTCCACTTGTAATACTTCATTTGCATGGAGCTCACTCTGATTGGTCCATTTCCCTCACTCCTGATTGGTTATTTCTCTTCCTCCTGATTGGTCCATTTCTACAAAGCTTGTTCCTAATTAGTCAACTTTTGTTATACCTTATTTGCATAAGGTATAAAGTGTAAACTGGTAGCCTATAAAAGCCTGTGTAAACCAACAGACAGGGTCCAAAGCTTGGCATGTTAACTCGCCTGGGTCTGCTGGTGTGTTCGTCGAGTGCTGCTTGGTCTGTCACCTGGGTCCAGGTTGCTGCCACAACTGAGCTGTAGCACGTTTTCCTGCAGCAGTAGAGGGGATTTTTGTGTCTCAGTGATGTCATGTCACTCTGTATTATTGTGGGGAAATTCTGGGCCAGAGAATCCTGGACGGCAGCAGCGGGTTTGGGGCCTTTAATAGCCCAGGGTTCGTCTCACCTGTGGCTGGCAGATGTTAAGTGCAGTTCTGCAAAGCAGGCAGGCTCTGAGTGGCTACAAATCTCTTTCCTGGGGCTACATTTAAGGCAATTGGATGTATGGGGATTTGAGTTTAGTGCTGGTGGGCTCGGAGCCTGCTGTGAAGAAGTACAAAAATAGGGGTCATCTCTAGCCTACTTAAATAAAACAAAAAGCTTGCTGTTAACCTCCTCAGAGATATGAGAAGAAACTGCAGAATAGGCTATAAAAGGTATATCCAGAAAACAAAAGGAGTATCTTAGAAAGGGAAAATATTGGAGTAAAAATGAAAAATTCAGTCGAAGAGAAAGTGAAGGAAATATGACAGCAATAGAACAAAAAAGACAAAGACTTTTAAAAATGAGTGAAAAAATGAAAATCAGAGAATCAACCCAGGAGTTCCCACATCCGAACTTCAGGAAATTTGGAAGGAGAGAACAGAGAAAAATGAAAATTATCAGGAAAAGACTTTAAGACAATTTTTCAGAAATAGAGGACATGGACAGACCCCCAAATGCTCAGCAAAATGAATGGGAAAGAAATAAACAAAACCAACTCATTGATGTGAAATTTTAGAGCCCAAAGATTTCCAGAGATCAAAAAGAGGTCTCATACAAAGGACTGAGAATCAGAATGCTCCTGGGTTGCTTAACAGTAATTTTGGAAGTTAGGGGACAAAGTTCCAAGGGAAGATAATTTAAAAACTAAGCATCTTACACCCAATAACTCAAAAAGGGTTATTTTTAGAGGGGAGCAAAAAGACCTTTCCAGATATTTAAGGTCTCAAAATATTTACTCCAACAGGCACTGTGTCTCAGGAAGCTTTTTGGGGGATATGTTTCACCAAAGAGAGGAGTAATCAGGAGGGAAATGGGATCCAGAAACAGGAGATCCAAAACGGGGGAGGGGCTGGGGCTGGAGGGGTCACGAAGTTCTCCAGGGGGCTGCTAAGGGCAATCTTGAGATGCAGGAGCTGTGAAACAGCCTGGCTGTTTTGAGAGGAAGAAAGAGCTCTAGGATTTTTCGAAAGAGTAAAATACACATCTGTCTTCAGGCAATAAATCGAACTGTTATCAAAACCTAAAGAAAACACTGGCCCCAATGTAAAAGGATTTCTTTACATTTCTTAAAAAGTTTTTGTCTGTTCTTGTTGTTTAGCAGTTTTCAAAAAAACAATCAAGTCCTTATGTTTTTTCATGTCATGTGTGCATCTCCTTGATAACATGAAAACGACAGAACTTCGGGTAAAGAGTAGTCCATCGTCTCTGGCTATCTCCACAACTTAAGATCATACTACCTTCTTGTCTTAAATACTTTAATTTTCCTCTTTTATATCATGCAGCAGAACTCCACTCAATGCATGGAGCCTGGGACTTGTTCTCAAACGTGAGCATCGGCCGGCCCGTCATGGAGTGCTGGCCTGCTTTGAGCTTTGAACCCACACTAACTTGACTCTGCCACTCTGTAGCTGATCAGTTTTGGCAACTGTCTGCATCTCTGTTTCCTCATTAAGGTACCAGGCATAATCATCCCAATCTCGCAGGGCTGTTCTGAGTTTTAAAATGATGCTATCGTGGAAACGAAGCACCAGTATTATCCCTAGTTCCTAGTAGGTGCTTAACACCTTGTGGCTATGACAGGTGTTAATGTTTTGTAGTTTCCACCACGATTTCATCCGTCCTTTCTCACCGCGTCTTTGATGAAATGGGAGGACAGGTTTGATGCCCCCACTTAAAAACAGACAAAACCAAGGCCAAGCAACAGGCTAGCACTCTGGGATGGACCCTTTGGGGGCTCAGCATTTCTGGTCACTGGGCAATGCTCTAACAGAGACAGAGCCATCGGGAAGCGAAGTTCCTTGAAAGAGCAATCGTCCCCGATGCCCTGCCTTTCCAGCAGCAGGACCACGGGGTTAAGAACAATAGACTGTGAGTCCAGACTTGCTCTCAGAATGAGAGCATTTTCACATTCCAAGTGGGACCAGGAGGGAGAAGAAATGACAGGAGACAGAGTGGGTCCATGAAATCATGTTTTTATATCCAGTGCCCAAAAGGAAATTGGAAAACAAGTGTGTGTGAATCCCTTCACTCTGGTAAATATGTTTACTACGTAGGTGGGATAGGAAATACCAAGGCAGTCTGCAGTAAAGTTCCTGAAATAAAGATTAAGCCCCAAAGGATAGAGCTTTGTATTTTTAAATAATCTTAGAGTTCCTCTTTGAACATGACTAAGTGATCATTTGTGTCAAACTAGGTTTTTAAAGTGGCAAAAGGAAAGGGTGGTGTCAAGGATGCCATTTTCAACAAATTCAGACTTTTCAAGTTCCTTAGAGATAACTTAAAAAATTTAGAGACTATTCTAATACCTGGATTCATATTTAATTGTCTGAGTGAATTATCTGTGTATATGACGCTACTGTTTCTTTAAAAGAAATGTAAGTGAAACTAAGAAAGTTATGTAGGTAAGACTGTTTTGTGTAGGGCAAAGAACCCTGAGGGCATCATTGTGTAAAGGATGTTGACTAAGTCAGAAAAAAAAAAAAGTTAAATCATACCCACACGGGAAGGTGTCATAAATTTTAGAACGACTTCCATGCAGAGTGATTAAAAGTGTTATTTCTGAAAACATTAGCAAGAAGCCAATAAATGTGGGTTAAATGAAGAAAAATTATTTACGGCAGTAAAATATCAAAGACTAAAATACTAAGATACATAACTGGTTATCTCTAACATACAATAATGTTCCAGTAGCCCATTTACAGATTGACTTGAGAATTTGGAGCTTATTTTCCCAAATAAACAGTGCTGTAGACATCAGTTACACTCTCACAGAAGTAAACAGGGGGCAAGGAGACTAGCTCAATGGTAGAGCACATACATGTTTAGCATGTACGAGGTCCTAGGTTCAATCCCCAGTACCTCCACTGACAAAAGAAAGAGAGAAACCTAATTACTTACCCCTACCAAAAAAAAAAAATGTTAAACTAAAACATAATGTAGATAAATCCTTGTGCACCTGCAGTGAAAAACAGTAGAAATTCTAGCATATAAGCGCAAAAGGGAAACAATAAAACTGGATTACAACCACTGCATTATTTTGGATGCTAGTATTCAAGGATCAGAGGACTACTGAGAAAAGAAATTACACCCGTGGAGACTCTGAGCGAGGTGTCGGGCTTTCAGGTAACTGAGGTGCTAGCACCCATGTGATTTCACTTCAGTCCCTAAGGCCTTCTCCTGTCTTGTTGCATGCATGCCTATGATTCTTGTTAGTCAAATCAGCAATAATTCTGGCCGTTTTGAAGTTCACAGATGAAAATGGGGAGAGGAAAAGGACAGTATATTTTTTAAGATAAAAGGTAAGTGAGGAGAGAGGGGCCCATTGCAGGGACATGAAAGGGGAACTTGTGCACCCTTGTGAGAGGGCCTGAGGTGGTGACTGAATGGTAAGCAGGGATGGGTAGGAGAAGGTGGCAGTGAGCACATGGTTTCCCTGAGCTGGTGAGGAAGAGGTGCCACTGTCAGACGCCACCTTGAGCCTTAACTCTTGGTTGCTGTACATCACACTCCCAGAGTTTATTTACCTTGTAAGTGAGTTTGTACCTTTGGGCTGCTTTCACTAGTTTTAGCAGAAGGGATCTAACAATCTTAAAGCACGGACTTGTGGCCACATATTCTTTAATCTCCACTACCTAGTGCAGAATAAACATTGATCAGAACGGTGTTGAAATATTTCCCTCTCGCTACAGTTTCCCCCACCCTTTCACCTTAGTGCCTTTTGCACCAGCTTCACCTGGAATGCTCTTGGCTGGTAAGGCATTTCCGCAGATCCAGTTCTTACCCTCCTCCTAATACACCACCCACTTAGCAAGGTTTTCCGATTTGATCCCTACCCTCGCGGCTATCTGTATCTCTCCACCATCTCTCGGTTGTATCTCACACTTATATCGACAACACACACGCCAGTTCCCTTGCGAGTGCATCCCAGTCTGGGAAACCCAATAACCTAACCTGATCTTTACTTTGCCTATACCCAGCCCGACGCTCGGCTGGTTAAGTGGAAGAATAAAAAACTCGGAAAGCTGAGGGATCCAGCGTGCGTCTTGCCGTTAAACAACCTGGACTTCCCACGTGGTCGTTTCGAAAGGAGTTTCTGTGGACAGCAACATGGACCCGGGGTGGGGAGGGGGCGGCGGCCTGAACTCCGCGGCCAGACTGGCTCCAAGGGGGCCTGAACCAGCGAGGGCTCGAACGGCCGACTCCGCCCTCGCCGCAGTCTCGGTACGTTCCTCGACGGCCGGGGGCACAGACGGAGGGGAAGACCGAACACGCAGGGGTAGGAAGAGCGGCGTGGAGCCCGCAGCGGGCGGCCGGACCTCCTCGAGCCCCACAAGCCGAGGCTGGCGCCGCGTGTCCGGGGAAG